CATCTCCTGCAGGCGCTGCCTGTACGAGACCAATGCCGGAACAACTAACTCCACAAGGGCGAGAGCAAGACGAACGGTGAAGCGCCGACGACTAATGGTGTGTCTGGAACTGAGGAGCTCACCAAGGCTCCGATTGTCAAGATCAGCTGCTTCAACTGCGGCACCGACTGCACTCGCATCTACTACCACAGCTCGCAATCGGACCCGAATAGCAAGACCAAGTACGACCTGTGCCCGAGCTGCTACCTCGAGGGACGTCTGCCTGGCAACCAGACCAGCGCCCACTACACCCGCATGGAGAACCCCACCTATTCATCCATTCTCGACCGGGACGCGCCATGGAGTGATGCCGAGATTCTCCGGCTTCTCGAGGGGCTCGAGCGCTACGACGAGGACTGGGGCGAGATTGCCGACCACGTGGGCACTCGGACACGCGAGGAGTGTGTGCTTCAATTCCTGCAGCTCGACATCGAGGACAAGTATCTGGAGTCTGAGAGGCTGGACGCGCCGATCGGTCTCCAAATGCTGGGCAGCCACGGTGGGCAACTTCCGTTCAGCCAGACGGATAACCCGGTCATGTCGGTTGTCGGCTTCCTCGCCAGCCTTGCCGACCCGGCCAGCACCGCTGCCGCCGCCAACAAGTCGGCCGATATTCTCAAGCAGAACCTCCGGAACAAGCTCGAAGGTGGGTCGCAGGGTGATGCGGAGGCGAACGGCAAGGGCAAGGAGAAAGGAGGGCGGTGACTCGATGGACGTGGACCTGAGGCAAGAGACTACCACGACCACTACTACAACGACAACCACCACGACAACGACTAGCTCATCCGCGCTGGCGAGCATCCCGCTCGCGGCGGTCGGTGCTCGTGCTGGCGGCCTCGCTTCGCACGAGGAGCGCGAGATGACACGGCTCGTATCCTCCGCTGTCAACGTGACGCTCGAAAAGATGGAGCTCAAGCTCAAGTACTTCAACGAGATGGAGGCCATCCTGCAGGCGGAGCGGCGCGAGCTGGAACGCGCCCGCCAGCAGCTGTTCCTCGACCGCCTTTCCTTCAAGCGCCGTGTGCGGGAGGTCCAGGAGGGGCTCAAGCAGGCGGCCGCGGTCGGCGGTGAGCAGGGCGCCCGCATGGCCCAGGAGCTCGCGATTGATGGCCAGCGCATGAGCTTCCACGCCCCACCTGCCGCGGGAGCGGTGCAGCCGTTGAGTGCCGAGGGTCAGATAAAGAGCTACGAGGCTTAGCTTATGGGAGTGTCTCTGTTTTCTTGGGTTCGTTTGGCTCTCTTCAGGCGTCAGGGGCTGGGAGGTATCGATGGGTATTATTGGTTGTGCGGGAGTAGTAGGATGTTGTACGAAAAAGAAATGTTTTTTGTTTCTTTTTGGTTGTATCAAACACCAGAGCCACATGGCACGCACGGATTCATGTTGGACCGCGCCTAGTCAGGGGAGGGTTGCGAGGAGTGGACTTAGTATACAAATGCCTTCATCGGTTTCCCGTTTGCAACCTTCATCATGTCTAATAATGTTGATAATTGTTGGCTAACCTACTCGAGTGAAGTGAAACCTGTTATCATACACCTTGTCCTCGAGCCCCCTAGCCGTTTCCCCATGGTTTCAACTACGGCAAAGCAACACAACAGTCTGCTCTGAAGGAAGAAACCCAAACAATATGCAATATGAATGACGAAGCAAAAAGAGAATGTGAATCAAAATCACAACAAAGTTGACGGAAGTGGGGTTCGAACCCACGCTCTCTCTCGAGAAGAGGAGATCTAAGAAAATACTTAAATCCTCCGCCTTAGACCACTCGGCCATTCCGCCCTTCTTTTAGAGAAGTTGAAACCGAGATCCTATCAGAAGCAGTTGTTGGCGGAGGAGTCATACCTGGTTGGGTCTGGTTTTTGTCGTACATGGTGTACAGCTAACTGAAGTGGGCAAGAGCGTGTGACCGTTTAGTGTCAGCTGTTGGTATCACAGGGCTGAATTTGGTTGCCTGCATAAGGTGTTCCGACAAATAACTCAATCTCACAGTAAAAAAAAGATGGCGGTGTTTTTAGCATGTGAAGGTTTCTCTTTCTGGAACAGCAACGTCTCCATCCGCTGGCCCGCAGCTAAAGCCAAGCGCTATCAGGTGTCGGGTGGCGTGTGGGGAGCGACCAGTTGCTCGGCAGCAGGGGTGGCTTTCATACCGGAATTGACTCGCGCTGGGCGACCCCACGGCAGCCGCGGTGTTTGGAAGACAGAAGGCTAATGACGGCAATTAGCCTCGGCTCGGGCCAAAGCACCGGCCCATCAGCGCAGTGTGAGAGCAACATCCATCCCACGCCGCGGCAACCCACACTTCCCAGTGCGCGTATTCTCCATTCTCCAGACAGCCGATGCCGATGCAACAAACCCCGGGACCCTGAAAAAGTGCCTAGGTTCACAGAGAAGGCGCATCGGAAAGAAGGACCGACCCTGCACCGCCAATCTCCCGCGGTTCTTGTTGGAACCCCCCCCACCACTCCGCCCCCGGACTTCCATCCCAGTACTTCGTAAATCCCAAGGTATCTCCGTTCTTAGACTAGAACCGCAAGGAAACCGCCGTGTGCCAGACGTCTTCTTTTTATTTTATTTTTCTCTCTTTCCTTCCCTGCTTGTGATCTTCCAGCTCCACTCCGGTAAGAAAGTTGTGATGTTGGCCGCGATTGCAAGATCAGAGGCTCGGTCTCCCGCTCTTCGAAACCTCCTCTCCAGGCACACCTCGACGACTCCCTTGGTTAGCCTCCCGCCTTTTGTCGCATCATGTTACGCCTCAGGTTTTCTCCCAGCTCTAGCTAACCCCTGGTGACCACAGAGACTCACCACAGCCATGGCTCCCGCGAGCAGACGAAACAACAGCTCCCTCCCGGCGGGGTACGTCGAGGACAAGTCCAAGGGCGCCATGCTCCGCTTCCAGGAATCGCTTCCCCGCCTGCCCGTCCCGACGCTAGAGGAGACCGCCGCGCGGTATCTCAAGTCGCTCAAGCCACTTCTCACACCCTCAGAACTCGAGAACAGCACCAAGGCGGTACAAGAATTCATCGCCCCGAACGGCCCCGGCCGCAAGCTGCAGGACAAGTTGACCGCCCGCCGCGACGACCCCAAGACAAAGAACTGGATCTACGAGTGGTGGAATGATGCGGCATACCTCAGCTACCGCGACCCCGTGGTGCCCTACGTTAGCTACTTCTACTCGCACCGTGACGACCGGAGGCGGCGAGACCCCGCCAAGCGCGCGGCGGCCATCACGACGGCGGCGCTCGAGTTCAAGAAGCAGGTGGACGCTGGTAGCCTCGAGCCCGAGTACATGAAGAAGCTGCCCATCTGCATGGACAGCTACAAGTGGATGTTCAACGCCAGCCGCGTGCCCGCCAAGCCCGCCGACCACCCGGTCAAGTTCGACCACAACCAGCACAAGCACATTCTGGTCATCCGGAAGAACCAGTTCTTCAAGATTTCGCACGAGGTCGCTGGCAAGCAGCTCAACACGTCGGAGCTCGAGCAGGCTTTCCGCCGGGTATACGAACTGGCCGGTGAGCGCGCGCCTGCTGTCGGCGCTCTGACCTCGGAGAACCGCGATGTGTGGACGGATGCGCGGGCAGTGTTGCTCGCCGCCGACCCTTCGAACGCCAAGGCGATCGAGGCGATCGAGTCCGCCTCCTTCGTTGTTTGCCTAGACGACGCGAAGCCGGTAACCCTCGAGGAGCGGGCCCACGCTTATTGGCACGGTGACGGACAAAACCGCTGGTACGACAAGCCGCTGCAGTTCATTGTCAACGACAACGGCACCTCGGGTTTTATGGGCGAGCACAGCATGATGGACGGTACCCCCACGCACCGGCTCAACGACTACGTCAACGACCTGATCCTCAACAACAAGCTCGACTTCTCCGACCCGAGCATTCGCTCTAACCTCCCTGACCCCCAACCTGTCAAGTTCGCCGTTACCAAAGAGGTGCAGGCCGAGATCGACCGCGCCGTGCACGACTTCAACGCCGTCATCGGGCAGCACCAGCTCGCTGTGCAGGCCTATCAGGGCTACGGCAAGGGCCTCATCAAGAAATTCAAGTGCTCGCCGGACGCCTATGTGCAGATGATCATCCAGCTCGCCTACTTCAAGATGTACGGCAAGAACCGCCCAACCTACGAGTCCGCGGCGACGCGCCGCTTCCAGCAGGGGCGCACCGAGACGTGCCGCTCCGTGTCGGAGGACAGCGTGGCGTGGTGCCGGTCCATGGCGGACGAGAGCCTCGACAGCGAGGCGCGCGCCGCCCTCTTCCGCAAGGCCATCGCCGCCCACATCGAGTACATCTCGGCGGCCTCGGACGGCAAGGGCGTCGACCGCCACCTGTTCGGCCTCAAGCGCCTGCTCGAGCCCGGCCAGCAGGTGCCCGCCCTGTACCAGGACCCGGCCTACGGCTACTCCTCCTCGTGGTACCTGTCCACCAGCCAGCTGAGCTCCGAGTACTTCAACGGCTACGGTTGGAGCCAGGTTATTGACGAGGGCTTTGGCATTGCGTACATGATCAACGAGAACAGGTATGTCTTGTTTCGTGCTTCCACCGATCCTTGTTTTATTTTTACTTCGTTGTTTCCGGTTTGGCTAACTGACTGTGTCCAGCATCAACTTCAACATCGTCTCCAAGGGTCTCGGCAGCGACAAGATGAGCTTCTACCTTAACGAGGCGGCGGGCGACATGCGCGACATGCTGATGCCCTCGCTGGAGGCGCCCAAGGCCAAGATTTGAGATGCTTACTCTTGTTTGAGTGAGAGAGAAAGAAAGAGGGTGGTTTTCTGCTTGGATAGTTAGATAGGGAGAGAGAAGTGGACGTTATTGGGTCATATTAGCGCAACGTCTTCTCTCTGCTTGGCGCATTGCATGCATTTTTTAGAGCTAGCCGGGCCGTCTTTCTCATCATAGACCAATACTATGCAGCTCTGTTGTAGCTATCCCTGTACCGATGACTGGGTATTTTGCGGTGTGTAGTCGCCATCTTTAACTTCCCATGAACCCCACGACATCACCCCATATGGAGAAACACGAATAAGTTGATATCATATCCCCGGGGATTCACAGAGTAAAACGACTGATTTTATACAACATGCTCTTCTACAGCTACTCAGCCTCGTTACCACTACGTCTCCAAAACGCCCATCTTATAACTAGCAGCGCAGACAGAGCCCAACAAACCAGGTAGGGACTTCTTGCCCTGCCTTGCCCGGCCATGCCATCCCCTCTTTTGCCCATCTATTCTTCTCCCGAAATCATAATCCAACCCGCCTTTCCCTCACTACCCCGTGCTCCACCCCTATTCACGCGCCATGAGAAACAATCTCATTCACAGCCTCGCCCTTCTCAGAATCCCACCACGAGCAGATCTGGCTGAGCAGAGGAAGCTCCTTGTAGTCCTCATCCTCGCCGGAGCCGGTGAGCACGTTGAGGTTGATGCTGGCGGACTTGCTCGAGTACAGGCGGGTGGCGGCGCTCTCCTTGCTGAGGTAGACCTGGGCGCCGTCGACCTGGTCCATGAGCACAGTGGGGATGACGCCCATGACCTGCAGGGCGAAGTTGTTGGACTTGACCACGTCGACGCTCGACACGAGCGACTCGACCACGAGCGAGACCCGGTTGGTGTTCTCGACCGTGACCGCGTTGGCCTTGCCCTTGAGGATGATGGTCGCTTCGTTGCACTTGGAGATGAGCACCGAGTGGGAGAGCGACACTTCGATCTCGATGGGTGAGGGCCACTTTTCGAAGTTTTCCTGCAAACAGCGGGTTAGGGCACTGTTCAAGGATAGGGAGCAGGAGAAAGACATACGATTGTCCACTTGTTGCCCTCTAGCTCCTTCTTGGGTGGCTTCTTGACGCGCATGCTCTCCGGCTTGGGCTTCGTGCCTGGCGGCGCGGGGCTCTTACCGCGCGCCGAGCCGTTCTGTTCTGGGACGGTCGACCCGGCCCGCAGTGATGGGTTCTTGTGCGTCATCTGCGACTTGTCCACCTTCCGGAGACCCTTGGTAACCGCCTCGCCTTTATTGAGCTCCGAAAACACGGCGCCAAGGCCTCCGGCGGCAGCTGGGTCGGCCTTTTTCTCGTCGATATTGAGAACCGGCGGCGGGCCCGGCGGGGGTGGAGGGGGAGGAGGAGCCCCACCGGCAGCAGGCGCGGCTGGTGGTGCGGGCGACGCGCGAGCAGCAGGGGCGGATGCCGCGTTGACCGACTTGGCTGCTTCAACGGCGGGTACGCCTTTCGGGTTCCAGGGAAGGCCGTCATTGCAGTAAGTCTTGACATACTCAGCGAGATCACGGATGACCTGGTAGTAAGCCTTAACCCATTCGACCTGCTGCTCATCCCTATTCTCAGAGTCAGCACGTCGTAGCCATGATGTAGGCAAAGAAAAAAATGAATAGCCCACTTGTTCTTGTTTGCCGTCAGGATCTTGTTGCCCCAGAACTCGGCAGACCCAAGGCTTCCCTCCACGTGTTTGAAGGGCTTGGTGTCGATCGTCACCCAAGCCAGGACCATGATGCTGTCGGACACGGCGGAGAGGTTGTTGTATGACTTGTCAGCGCGGTTGTCATCTTTGATTTGGATAATGGTGGACATAAGGTCGCCGATGGGCTTCACCAGGTCCTGGAAAACGGACCCAGAGAGGTCGGGCTTCTTGGCCTTGGTGGTGATGAGCAGGAATTTGCGCTGTTCCTCGAACGCCTCGACGACCTTGGCGGCCTGCTTAGCAACCAGACCCCCAATATCATTGCTGAGTTTGGCCCAGCTCGCAAGGGGTTGGTTGATGAGGTCGTCAAACTTTTCGATAACCTCGGGGGTAGGCTCCGGCGCTGGGGCGGGGGCGGGCGGGCTCGGTCCTATCGCGGTTTGGGGGGACCCGGGCAGCGGGGGCGCCGAAAGCTTAGGGGCGGAACCTTGCTGTTGAACGGTCGGGGCGACTTGAGGGGCTTCGAATGACGACTGGGCAATATCCTCGAGGCGAGACGTGGCTGCCTCAAGCCTAGTGAGTCCGGTCAGCCTCTGGTCGGGTTGTTTGCGCCGGAAGTCACAGAACAGGCCCGGTGGTAGAGCAGAGCTGGTCAAGTTACGCACCGCTTAATAAGAGTCGTCAGGTTGTGCATGGAATTGGACGCCATGTTGTGTTGAGCGGGCGCGGGCGGGCAGCGCAACCAAGTGGTGGGGGAAAGAGACGAAGGAGGGGGTGGACGGATGTGCGATCGCCGGGAAGGCTGTGCGCGGCCTTTGACCACGGAGTGACGTGGGTGGTTATATATCTATCGGGCTAAGGCGGTCGTGAGATAGCCTTGTGGTGGAAATGGGGAATCAGGCGGCAGCATAAGATGGAAAGTAAAGTTGACGCAAGTCAAGTCGCGTTCAGAAACGTTGACAGTCGAGATACCCCTGACAACCCTGGGAGGTGCCCGACACCCCACGCACCCCCTAGCTTCAGAGCATCAACAGGGATCAATGGCCCCACCGCTCCCACCTGCTCCTTGTTCCCCGCCAATGGCTTTCGTCGGAGGGGTTCAGGCTGCGATGAGCGTTGACTTGTCGCTGCCAGGCAGCTCCTGCATGCTACCTACCGAGGCAATGGAAGCTCAGAGATAAGGTTCTACCTGGAAACCTGGAAGGTGTGTTAAGGTTCTACTCCATTTATTTCTCATCTTCCTCCCTTTTTTCTTGTTTTATAACTGGAAGATTTCTTCTCAGTCGAGGCCAGGAGCCACATGTATCTCCCCGTTGGTGTTCTCTATTCCCCGCGCTTCATGCTATTGCGACCGAGCTAAGGTGTTATCAATGTTTCTCCAAGACTGTCCGCTACCAACCAACCTTCGGTACCTAGGGTCTCCTAGGTTGTAGCGAAGTTCAGCTCCTGCGGGTCGACGTAAAGGTCCTGGATGTATACCAGCATCCCTCACACCCAAACCCTCCATCAACCAGTGACGATCCAGCCTCACTGTTTCAGCCAGGTCTGGGAAAAATGTCGTCGGGGGTTTCCTTTGTTCTTCCAATTTGTATTTTTCCAGTCGTCCATTTTGCATTCCGATAAAGTTAGCTTTTCGTCCAGGACACTCTCATCACCGGGCACTCCGGTTCTCTCTCGGGCCCTCTAGGGTTCTCTTTTCCACTAATTTCACCGACTTGCCCTAACACGAAAAACACAGCGACACAGGAACAAAGTAACACTGCACATTGTTGATTTCTGTGCCAAGGCCGGCCCCCCCCCATCGAGATGGTTCTACACCGGAACCTGGATCCGGACATGGACCCTAACATGGACCGGGACATGGACCGGGACAGGGGGCTTGAAGGCCGGGTGCCGACCGACGCGGAGCCGGAGCCGAGTGTTGAGGACATACCGGACACGCAGGAGATTGATTTTGTCACATTGGGCATGTTCATTATTGGTATGCTTTTTTACTCCTTTTTCTTGGGGCCGTGACCCTTCTCTGTTGCCGTGTCTGGAAAGAAAGACTCATAACCACTGAGGAAATCAAGGCTGAACCTAAATTGGCCCTACCTATCCTCAAGAACCTTGCCAGCCTTGTTAACTAAACGCCCCAGATGAGATCGAGTTCCTCCCTCCCAAACCCGCCGTCCGCGACATCCTCGGCGGCGCCGGCACCTACTCCGCCCTCGGCGCCCGCCTTTTCTCCCCACCCCCAACATCCAAGACAGTCGGCTGGATAGTCGACCAGGGCTCCGACTTCCCCCCCACCATCGCCTCCGAACTCACCAGCTGGCAAACCTCAGCCCTCTTCCGCCACGACCCCTCCCGCCTCACCACCCGCGCCTGGAACGGCTACACCGACGCCTCGGAACACCGCGCCTTCCGCTACACCACCCCCAAAAAGCGCCTCACCGCCACCGACCTCACCCCCCCCCTCCTCCAAGCCAAAGCCATCCACCTGATCTGCAGCCCGCAACGGTGCCAAGACCTCATCACCACGCTCCTCGCCCGGCGCAAAGCCGCCTACCTGGCCTCGCCCCCCGCGCACGACCCGCACGGGGAGGGCTACACGCGGCCCTTGGTGATCTGGGAGCCCGTGCCGGACCGGTGCGTGCCGGAGGAGCTGCTGGCGTGCACCAACACGCTGCCGCTGGTGGACGTGTGCTCGCCCAACCACGCCGAGCTGGCGGGCTTCATGGGCGGCGACGGGCTGGACCCGGCCACGGGCGCCATCAGCGCTGCGGCCGTCGAGCGAGCCTGCGAGCAGCTGCTCGCCAGCATGCCGCTGCAGAGCTATACGCTGGTGGTGCGCGCGGGCGAGCGCGGGTGCTTTGTGGCGCGCAATGGGGGGCGGAAGAAGAAGGTGGTGACTGGGGGTGGTGAGGGTGGAGGGGATGGTGTCTCCGGGGGGGTGGGCGGCGCGGCTGGGGTGAAGAAGCCAAAGAAGAAGGAGTATATTCGGGGTGGGCTGCGGCCGGACACGGATATGGAGGCGTTGTTTGCGGGGCTGATGCAGGATGAGGAAGGGTGTGTTGCGCGCGAGGAGATCGAGATCGATCCCGGGGTTGAGAAGTGGGTGCCTGCGTACTATGGAGAGGGCTACAGCGGGGCGGATGCTGCGGAGAGGGTGGTCGACCCGACGGGGGGCGGGAATACCTTCCTCGGCGGCTTGTCCGTGGCCCTGGCGAGGGGCAAGTCGATCGAGGAGGCGTGTGCGTGGGGCCATGTTGCGGCTAGCTTTGCCATCGAGCAGGTGGGCTTTCCCGTGTTGAGTGTGGACGAGGAAGGGCGGGAGATGTGGAACGGTGTGAGGGTGGAAGACAGGCTACGGGAGTTTCAGGAACGGCCTGGACCTGCTCTTGGATAGATACACGACTTAACCCATGTACCAGCCTGTTTAGTTAACTAGGTGCCTGGATAGACAATATACCTTACTTATTCATCCCTAGTACTAGAAAACAACCATTGGCAGTATGAACAGGTACTGTACTGAGGACACCAAAGCGCAAAAAGCTCAGTCTCGACCGGGGAGTCGAATGGACCTACGAAAAGACCGGACAGATGCCATACCACGCATGGGCACTCTCCAGTCATTTTCAAAGTCAGCGCCCCTTGCGTTGAGTCGCAACGCAATACCACTACACCAGGCGGCCCCTGGAGGAGGCGCTGACTTACCACTTGCACTCGGCGAGCTGCCCTATGTGCCGCCCCCATCTTCTAAGGCATCAACAACCTCACCGCCTCCCACCTTTGGCTGATTTGCGATTTTATTCCCACAATTTTCGGCGCTGAACGAGTTTCCCTCCGTCTCTAAAATCCACGCGGCACTCATCACGCCGCTACCAGCCCTTTCGTCAACCAGCACCTAAACAGGAACCTCTCTGCAAACCCATCATGGAACATAAACAATCATACGCAACTAGCTCGGATCTTTGTCTACATTCATCATGCCCATGCGACGCCAAACATAATGCTTCATCATATCATCAATGACACACAGATAACTCCAACCTGTCCCCCCCATCCCACATTCTACCGCCACCAGACAAGCCACTCCCACACTCCCACCACCTCAAATCTTATAAACCAACTCACCATCAGTGTACCTATAAAGAAAACAAGTCAGCATCACGCCCAGCAAAACAGTCGTCCAGAACAACTCACATAATCTGGTTCCGCTCGTCCATCTCCCTCAGCGCCTTAACGGCCTCCTCCCGGCCAAACCGCTGCGCGGCGCCGCCGCCAACCTTGCGGTTCACGGCCTCGATCAGCTCGCCCACACCAGCCGAGTCGTCCTCGAACAAGTCCGTGTTAAGCAGCTGGCCTAGCGCACGGCGGAAGACCTCGAGGCGGGCCTCGCTGATGGGCGCGTCCTCTCCTTCCCCGTCCTCCGCCTCCTCCTCCTCCTCCTCGTCGTTGCCATTTCCATTGCGGTCCGAGACCGATAGGTTGGCGGTGCCCGAGGCGAGCGTGGCGTCGTCGTCGCCGCCACGGCCGCTGCGGCGTTGGGATTGGGATTGGGATTGGGTACGGAGTTGGGAGGCGGGGAGGGAGGAGGCGAAGGAGGGTTGGGAGGAGGAGGCTGCGGCACCGGTTGTGCGGGTTGAGCGGCGCGGGGTCGCGTTGTAGAGGTCTTCTGGTTCCTCGTCCTCTTCTTCGTCTTCTGCTTCTGCGGGTGCCGGGTCGTCGGGTGAACTACCCTGTCTGCGGGCAGCTGGCCGGCGGCGAGTGTTGTTGGTGGGGCGTTGGGATGCGCGGGTGGAGCGCGCGGTGCTGCTGCGGGCGGTTCCATTCGCTTCGTCGCCGTCCGCGTCGGAGTCGTCGTCGGAACTGCTGTCCTCGCCTTCATTCTCGAGAGGGCGGGTCTTGCGCCGCTTCTTGCGGGACTCGTCCTCGATTACTTCTTTGAAGAGTGCGAAGCGGAGGATGGACTCGGCGGCGGCGGCGTCGCGCTCGTCTACGCGGTTGGAAAGGCGGGACTTCGCGTGTGCAGTGGCAAGACGGATGAGTGTCTCGAGCGTACGCACTGTCATGGGACTTGTCTTGCGCTGATTGCTCTCCATGTCGTCGTTGCGCAGACCAACGTAGATGTCGGCAATGCGATCGGCCGCCTCTTGTGTCAAGACGGGCTTGATACGCGTCTTGGCGTACTGGATGTACTTTTTCATGAAGGGTATGCTCAACACCTCTGGCTTCTTGTTGGCGCCCCGCCCTGTCCCCTTGACACCCGCGTGCAGCATCGCGTCGAACTTCTCGTACACCTCGGTCGGGCGCTGCGACTCAGCTTGGTTGTTGAGCGCCACATTCAGCGCTTGACCCGCGTTCTCACGCACTGGCGCGCCTTCTTCTGTCCCGGCTTGCCGGTATCTATGCATGCGGAGGACGTGTTCTGAGACCTGTCGGTCCCTGGTATCCTCAATATCATCTGTGACGACAAATAACAAATCGAAACGAGAGAGCAGAGAATCGGGAAGGGCGATGTTCTTATGCGGGTCCTTGTGGGTGTCGTATTGGCCAAAGATGGGGTTGGCCGCAGCAATGACACTACAGCGGGCGTTGAGGGAGGTATGAATGCCCGCCTTGGCGATGGTAACCGTCTGCTGTTCCATGACTTCGTGGATAGCCACTCGGTCGATGTCCGACATCTTGTCGAACTCGTCGATGCACACCACGCCGCGATCGGCCATAACCATGGCACCAGCCTCTAACCTCCTCTCGCCCGTTTCCTTGTCGGATGTTACAGCAGCGGTCAAACCGACACCAGAAGAGCCACGACCAGTCGTAGCAATGGCCAATGGCGCAGTGTTGAGTACGAAACGAAGCAGTTGGGACTTTGCAGTCGAGGGATCACCGACCATCAGGATATTGATGTCACCCCTCAAATGTGTGCCGTTTTCCAAGTTCTTCTCCATACCTCCTAGCAACATCAAGAGAATGGCCTTCTTGATGTACTCGTGCCCATAGATGCTCGGCGCCAAAGACTGCGATAATAAATCGAACAGCTTCTGTTTCTTGGCAATCTTGTTGATGTTCCGGATGTCTGTATCGGTAATGGTGGCAGTCGCGACACCGCCGCCCGACTTGGTCGAGAGCAGCACAACGTTGTTTGCAAGAAGAACCGTCTTGAAAAGCGCGCTGTTGTGGTTGGTATTCCGGTTGCCCAGCGTCCGGAAGATGCCCACCAACTGAACACGATCGCCTGGCTTGACCTTGTCGACGAGGTCGTCGTCTAGGATCACGTCGACACCCCGGGGCAGCTGGCCTGCAGGCGCCCGCTCGGGCATCTCCTGGATCGAGACGGTCTGGTGGTCCCGGTACGTGCACATGCCGTACTCAGTCATCAGGGGGTTTCCGTCTTGGTCTTCGGTGGGATAGACGCTCGTGGTGGCGACGCCCTTAGTCATAGTCTGGTCGCGGTACTCCTTGAAGTGCCACTTCCCCGTGGTTTCAGCGTAGTGCACGCTCTTGACAATCTTGGGGCGGATCAGCGAGCAACGTGTGACGATGCCCTCGATCGAGACCATGCTGTTGAGGTGCTGCGACGACAGCGTCCGCGGGTTGCAGGCGTTGAGGCCGAAGCTGCCGGCCCAGGCGCAGTAGTATAACACATCTGTATCCATCTGGTCGGGCCGGGCCTGGGGTAAGGTCTTGACGATCTCTTTCAAGGCATGGTCGAAGGCCAGAATGTAATCGAACGGGTTGTTGAGGAGACCCTCGGCGATCTCGGCGTTGTGATCACGGACATGGTCGATGTTGACGACAAGTCTGCGTTGGTTCTTCTGCAGCATCAAGATGATGTCGGGCCTATAACTCCGGGCATGTTGGTCATCTGCAGCCCAAGTCCCCGTCAGCGCTGCTTTCGAGGGGTAGTAACCGAGTACAGGACTTGTAGTCGGTGCAACAGGGAGGGGGAAGCGGGGAGAGGAACGAAAAAGTTCGTACGGGGATCGAGAAACTCGATGGCCTGGCGCACGCGATCGCGCGTGGCCTCGTCTCTCTGAAGCATCAAAGTGTCCATGATGCTGCCGTTGACGGGGAAATAGGGAAAATGGGGAAAATGAAGTTGGTGACAGGGTCAAGTGGAGAGAGCGTCAGGCTGCGGCTGCGGGCTGAGATTGTAACGAATGTGGGGGAGACAGGAAAACGCGACCGAAACGCGCAAGGCGCGTCTTTAGCGCGTGTGCGTAGGTCCATACCCTGGTAATTTCTAATGAGTTGTCGCCAGATAAAAATCAAGGGTTAGGGTTGCATGCAGTGGGGAGAATTTGATTGTTTGACTCGATTTGATAGCAACGGGAGCTACCCTAGGTACCTTAGGTAGGTATGTAGGTAGGTACTTTAGGTGATTTGATAAATACAAGGAAGTCAAATCAAATCAAACATGCCCTCAAGTTTAACTTGCTTGATTTGTGGAATCTTATTAACCGTCGCACCATCTCCGCGGCAATCGTCTTTCTCAAGTTATTAACCACATTCATCCTTCCTTCCCAGACAAAAAGGGCGGATTTATTTTATCATTTCATCACCAACTCAGTCCATATCGACACCATCTCAGCTCATTCGTCTCAACCAAACTGGGTGAGCCGCCCTCTGTGTTATGGCACAGAGTGTATCCCGCGCTGGAAAATCCTGATCCTACACTTGCCATAGGTACCTAGGTAATGAACAGGTGAGAAGACACAGGGGGCAAACTGCTGACTCCTCGTCTCAAAACCGCCTCCTAAACCCGGTCAGTATAGATAGATCCAGAAGGCTCTGCGCCAACGTCTGGCATCTCAATCACAACCTGGGAAACGTTCTTCTTCTGTTCAGGCCTTCAGGGAATGGATCACATGCTCATGCACTCAATTGGGGTCAAACCACGTTCCGCAGTATCGTCGAGGAAATGATGAGTCTGTTGTCTTGCTTGCCTGCCTGCCTACCAAAAGGAGAGAAAACCAACGTACTCGGGAGTTACACATCAATGGCACATCAATGGCATAGGCACCAGTGAAGTAGGTAGTGGATGTGCCCTAGAAATTATTCTAAACCCTCGCGCCGACGATGATAATGTGATATCGATGTCGAGCTATGCTGGGAATGGAACGGGAGCAGGAGGGGCGCGCGCAGAGGCGGGCACTAGTCCAGAGTGGAAAGGATTCACCCACTAATTCCAGCTTTATCACAAACACAATCTACTGAAACTAGTAGGGAATAAGGAAAGCTTTATCACAGACACGATCTACTGTAACTAGTAGGGGGTGTTGTCTCAGCTCAGCACTTCTGGCTCGACTACACAGTATGACAGAAAAGTAAAACAGGTCCCAAGAGAGCCGCGACCACAGGTGGTTTCTAGGTAGGGTACTCGGCAGGGCTGGTGCCAATATCGAGCGACACGTCAAGAAAATCTGCGAAGAGGGATGCAAATGTGGTGACCATAGGCGGGAGGAGAACAAGAAGTGCGAAACTACCTGGCACCTAGGTACCTATCGTCGAGAGGGAGCTCCCTTCAAGTTTGTAATCAATGGGAGCGGGAGACAGAGCACCGCCCTTTGTTTCATTTGATTCTGGCGAACGCTGCTGCTCAGTGTTTGAAGGCGGGTCCGATCACTGCGAGCATCGTCGGCCAGCTTGCGTTGTGAAACTAGTGTGTGAATCCTTTCCACTCTGGGCTAACTAGTACCTGCTTCCGCACCCGCCACTCCCGCTCTGTTCGGAACATTTCTGGTGAGGTTGAACATTGTCACATTATCATCGCCGCCGCAAGGGCCCAAAAGGAACTCCTAGAGCGGATCTACTACCCGCTTCGGCAATGTTACAATACCTATACCACTGATGTGCGATAACCGAGAGCAGACCTGTCTAGTCTGGATGGGTTGTGACCAGACTGAAAAGATATCGGTGTGCGCATTGTGGGAATCATGTGAGACAAATAAAGTGTCTATCGCTCTGTGTGGTGAGGGCCGCTCTGTGTGTAAGAAGGCACGCCGTCGTTCTCGGTTTCTCGGAACAGTATACCCACATTTCCCTCCAGTCCACATCCTACCTACCTTTCAGTCTCTTTCCCAAATTCGAGTCACCTCAACCACAAAAATGCGCTTTGCCGTTGCCACCTCTTTGTTTCTCACCACGCTTGCCATTGCCAGCCCTGTTCCAGTCGACGATACCAAGCCCACCATCGATGACCTGAAGAACCTAGGGTCTTCTAGCACTGGTGTTGCCAACACCCAGAAACACCCCAAGGTTCTTGACTCTCGTCAGATTAGCGATCTTGATCGTGCTAGCGCTACCCAAGATATCCCCGACCCCATCAAGTTTCCCAGTCCTCTTGCCCGTGGCAAGGGCAGGGGCAAGGGCAGGGGCAAGGGCAGGAACAATGGCAGCTTGAAGGGCAAGGGCAAGGGCAAGAAGGAGAGCGATGGCAGGACCAAACACAATCCCAAGCTTCCCGAGATGCCCGAGCTCACCGAGTCTCTTGATATTGGTTCTGTCAACATTCCTAACACTAAATCAGCACCCTCGGCTGCGGACGCGGCGAAACTTCCCCGATCCGGATACCGGCCGAAGCCGGGGCCGATGCCGATGCCGGTCAGACCAGATGGATACCGTTGGCCTTTGCGTACGCCATCTCCACCCATCATTCTCAAACAAAAGCTGACTCTCCCGTAGCCAAAAACCCTTTGGCTCCTAACACCGGTTCTACCAACACCGGGGGACGCCGCGCCCTTTCTGACAAGGGACCGATAGATACGGTTGTGAACGAGGGAACCGACCGAGCTGGGTTGCCTATATTCGATGCACCCTCCTCCGAGTCCTCACGTACGCTCCCTCCTTTCACCCATCATCCTCACAAATGAAGGCTGACTCTTGTAGCCCTTGATCCATAATCGGGATTACCAGCGTGGCAGACACTTTGCAAGATCTCCGGCTTCAGTGTCGAATAAAACTTCAGGGAAATCAGCGAGTTGGGATGCAGTTCCGCACTTGCACGTGGGAGAAGGACAACAGGTGTGCTACTGTCGTCGACGGGCCAACCTTTCTAACTATGGGATACGGAGCATCGCCGTTTGCTTCCATGACAAACGCTGTCCTGTGTCTGGAGTTATCCATGAAAGGGCCGATGAGGACGTAGAACGATGGAAAGGGGGCTTCATTTCATAACTACCTACCTTACAACTTCTCGAGCACTAGTCGTCAAAGGCTTATGTGTGGAGAGAGGAGGTTTAATCACCCGTGGTCAATTTTCTGAGTCTATGACATGTTCGTTCCCGTGACCGCCATCCGAGTTCACTACCTATGTTGCCCATGAGCTCTGTTAGCCCCAGACTACGAGCTCGTCAGTACTATTGATTGTATTCTTCTGACCGTGCCCATCGCACAACTCAGACGTGACAGCCCACCTGCCACACTGCAGGTCATCTCAGCTCCTTCGCCTCGGCTGAGCTGGGCGAGCCATCCTCGGGTCTGTCGATTAGTTAGTTACCCCAGGAACCAATTGTCGGGTTTACTTCCTTCCGAGTGGCCCTCGTGTTTGTTGAGAAAGCATTCGGGGCTTGGGCGGGTCCCGATCACCGCGAGCCCCGTCGGGCAACTTGCCATGTGAAACTAGTGGGCGAATCCTTTCCGCTCTGGACTAGTGGCCCCCTCGGCGAGCGCCGCTCCCGCTCCATCCCTCGCGCAGTTGAACATTGTCACATTATCATCGCCGGTGCGAGGGTTTAGTATAATTTCTAGGGCGGATCTACTCCCTGCTTCAGCGGTGTCTCTGCTACTGATGTGCGATAACCATTTGCTCAGCTGAGGCAGATCTGCCTCTGGATGGGGTTGCGATTAAGTCGGTGTGTGTGTCTATCACTCGACGTAGCAAGGGCTGCGATGTGTATAATAACTTAAGAAGAAGGCACGCTGTCGTCCTCTGTTTTTAGAACAGCATCACCATTCACGCCTCTCCTACGATCCCTACCTAGGTACTTTACCGTCCCTCCCCCAAATTCAAACCACCTCAACCTTAAAAATGCGTTTCGCCGTCGCCGCCTCTTGGTTTCTTGCCACCCTCGCTGTTGCCAGCCCAGTTCCAGTCGATACTATCAAGCCCGCCACCGATGCTCTGGGGGCCCCTGGAGCTCCCGACACTGGTTCGGCTGACGTCCTGAGAACCCCCGGGACTCCTGGCACCGACTCGGTCAACACTTTGAAGACCCCTGGGGTTCCTGACACGAATTCGGCCAATGCCTTGGGAACTCCCGGTGTTCCTGGCACTGGTTCGGCCGACGCCCTGAAGACCCCTGGGGTTCCTGATACCGACTCGGCCAGCGCCCTGGGAAAGCCAGAGCTTCCCGACACCGAGTCAGCAACTTCAGCTGCAGACTCGGCGGCAGCTCTCGTTGACCGCGCCTCCGGCGATGTCCCCTGCAACTGATTCGCGGTTGACACGTACGCCCTCGCCAGTGTCCACCCGTGGTTAACAAAAGCTGACCCTCCTGTAGCCTCGACATGCCCGACTCCGTGGAACATGACAACTGCAGGATTGAGAGAGCATTGGGGTGGTAACAGTGCTAGAACCGGGGCCCATATCGAGCAACACTCCAGAGAAACCCGCGACTTGCGGTGCAGGTGCGGCCATCAGTGGAAGAACAGCGACATGCGCGCCACCGTCGTCAAAACAATCTTGTAATGGGAATGGGTGATGAAGCATCGCCCTTTGGTTTGTTGGTAAACGCTGTCTAGTGCCTGGTGTCGGTCATGTCATGAAAGACCCAGGGGAGGGAGTGGAAGGAGAACTTCATTTCATACAACCCTTGAGCATTGGTTAGCGAAGCTCATGCAGAGGGGAGGTTTAATCACACTTGAACTGGGTGAATCCCACATTATCTGCAATCACTTCGCCCGTGCTCAATCTTCCCCGGCCCATTTACAAGTTGTCGCTGCCGTCATCTCCCAATTGCATTTGTCTATAGAGCCTGCTAGCTTCAGATTACAAGCTCGCCGCTACCACTCCCCCCAACCACCAAGATTCTGACTTCAACAGCGACTCTAGGCAGGGTCGTGGAGTTGCCTAGATCTGCTGACACGGGCTGCTCGAGTCCGCACTCCGGGCCATGCCCATCGGCCAAATCAGATCCATGCGACAGCGTCAATACTTAGGTAGATATTCAGGTGGACAAGACAACCCATACTCTTCGACCAGAAAAAGAGAACACACACAATTCACAACACCACCGCCAAAGACAATACGACCCGAGCCGTCGCCCCCGACGAGACCAATATCCCTCGGCTCTCGCCCGTCCCCACCGCACCCAAGACAGTCTCGGCCCGCTGTCCAGTTCAGGAAGCTCCCGAGCACCATCACGCCACCACTATGGCCGACCCTCTACTGCGCCGCGGGCGGAGGCGGTTCGGCTTTGGGTCCGTTGCCCGTCCCATCCCCTCTCCCTAACTAAAAGGAAAAAGGAAAAAGAAAAAAGAGGGGGGGGGGAGGGTGGGGGGTGGGGGGCGGCCCGCTGGCCCCGTTGCTGCATGAAGCCACAACCTGCTTGCTATTAGGGAGACATCGGATTCGTGTGCTAAATGAAATATCGTGTGTGTCGTGATAGGGGGAGGTCTTCGGGCTGCCAGCTTTACCGAGTTACATATTCTACATGCCTGCCCCCTTTGTCTACATGGACGATTCCGCGTCTGCCACTGCCGTGTGCATAGTGCTTAAAAGCCTGCACATGCCGACTGGGGACGGCCGCTCGGAGGGGCCAGTGTGATGGATAAACACTGGCTTGGCTTGCAGGACACTTCTCCTGAAGTTGGTCAACTGCCTTTTAGCTTGCCGTCTTTTCCGATGTTTTATCGGAAACGGCATCAGTGCCGAAACATCCTCCGCGAGGGATCAGTCCTCGAAGAGAATCGCAGGCGTGGTGGTACTGGCCCATCCTATGAGTTTAGCTCTCGAAAAAAAAAACAAGGGGTGATTGGTTCGGTGGTGACACGAACGAATCGGACGCTGCCGAAGGCCAAGACACCGGAGATATGTACAGCACTAGTGAGACCTGCATTGCAGAGTGCGTGAACCGGTCCTTCTTGAGGAGTTCGTCCGCCACATGCTGTGTGCGCTGTGGACGACAGGGATGTGTGAAGCCCAACGAGTTGGGGGGTAGACCGGCCAGACAGTGCCCGTGGAGTTGGGCGGAGGAGGGTTGGAGCGCTGCCACCTAAACTAGTGCCGTGTAACCAGCAAGTGTTTGTCTACCAAAACCCTACCGTCGAAAACGGCGAGCATGTTTGGTTTGAGGGTGCCGGCAGGGTGTCTGTCACCGTCCTCTACGGGCGCAAAGCTCCGCTGCCAACCCGTCCGGCTGCCAACGGAAGCCAAGGAAACATGAGTGTTGTCATTCCGAGATTCCTTGAGCGACTCAGGCGCGCATGTGCTAGCTATGGACGCGGGTGGGCCTAATGTTTGCCTCGTTTGATGCTGCCCGATGTTGCGAGCGACTGCTGTGCAAGCTCATTAGCCCTGCTGTTCGAGTCAAAAAAAAAGGAGCACTTGAGATAGGATGTTGTATGATGCTAGATCTCGAGGCGGAGAATAATTTCCTAGCACAAGAGCGCACTCCTCCGACGGTTTCCCAACGCTTGCCGATCTGACCCCTAACCAAGAACATATCACTAGAAAGCTACTACAGGTCCGCAGTTGATATCTGAGACATCAGCAAAGGTGGTGTGGGCCTTTCTTCTTAGCTAGGCGTTTCGATTGGTTACCAGGTTACCGGAGAGCAGTTCGTGGGCGGCCGAACGTTCCAGGTTTGTCCCACCGTGTTGTTCGCCGCGGCAGGCAATGGCGGAGACCCTACACTAGCTCGAGCCATGTCAAGGCGCTGATTTCTGATGCGTTAAGTCTCGGTCCGCTTTAGGCGGCAGTGACTTGGTACAGTCCAATATGGCGTTTCTCACAGCCGCCGAGGTTGGGCATTCCTGCATCTGGTCATCCGTCTGGTGTGTGACCTGGCCACCGATGCCCTGTCTCGGGCTGTGTAAGCACGCCCTGTGCACCTGCTCCCGTCCACCCGTCTGCTACCGGCCCTCTCGTGAACAACGTGATTCAAGAGTATAGTTGGGGGCCGACCCGTCGTCTCGCATCGACGGTGGCCAAATGAGAAACGGCAGTTTGATGACTGAGCCCGCTCTCACCCGAGTGGCGCCCGCTCGCGGTCAACGCAAGAAAACGGCCAATGATGCAAAGCAGGGGTGAGGTAACCTGCAGAATCATGGCTTGGGGAACTGCAGAGCTACCTTGCAGATTTCACCCGACTTGCAGCAGCAAGCCGGGACAAGCAAACTGCAGGGCCAATGAAACGGTCCCGACGCAAATAGCACACCTTGAAAGGGAACGCCACGATCCGGCACTGTTCGAAAACCTTGTATGCTTGGAGTCGAACACGAGGCCAACCGGGATCGAGAGGAACGTGACCAACCGAGGAGCACCCGAAAAGTGACACTGGCAGGGGAGCTTGCATCGGCACGAAGCCCGTGTGGTGAACAATGGAAAAGGGGGGAGGCATGTCCAATTTGATGCCGGCAGCGTTCTTGAAATGACAGTGGGAAAACCAATACCAGCAAGCAAAGATAAGGTTCGAAATCAGTCGAACGGTGTCGGTCCCGGCACAAGACCAAGCTACCACTTTAACTGCCTCCCCCGTTTGGCCCGGGTGCATCGGATGCTCACCCTGTCATCAAACATGGTTCCGCAATGTTCGCCGAGGTAACCGAGGATGGGGTGCCCAGTCGCGCCCGTCTGGGGGCGGGAAAGGGGGTGTGGTTGATTCGACGTGCAGCATGTGTTGTTGAAATAGAGAGTGGGCCATCGGAAATTCCACATGGATGAGGCGAAGAACCAGCAACCGAGCCGAGAGGGGCGCCGACTGACGCGTATCGGGCCGTGAGAAGCCGCAGTCCGGGCCGGAGACCAGGCGAGTTCCCGGGACGGATTAGCCGATGTAACGGCACAGCGTTGGCCGTGACTTGCGGTGAACTGGAGGATCCTCTTGAACCCCGAACAGGGGGTAAGGGGAGGGCAGCCGACCATGGACCGAAGTCGGGATGCCGAGTTGAGCTCTGGGCCCTTACCCCTCATTCAAAACCGGGGCCGAGAAGGGGTCTCAGCAAGCTGATGGTTGCACAGCAGCTGTTGACAATTCGAGGCGTTCGAAAGCGGGTGACCGCATGCGGGTTGTTGCACGTGGTACAGGTCTCCCGTTCCCACATGGCGCCCCAACAACGCGACTCGAATTCTCGTTTGCTTTACTTACCGTCGTTGCCATCGAACCAGAAAACAAAGGGCATGGTTCCCTTCCTTGCCGGGTCCCTAACCGTCACAGGAGCCGGTAAGCTAGTAGGCAATGTAGCGTCGGCCGTCCGAACCGGCGAATCATGCCAGCAGCCGAAGATCCACAGTTTCTCGGCTCAAACAGACTCTAGGAGCTGGCGCGTGGTCAGTCAATGCCGGGAGATGACGGAGCATGGCGGAGGACCGGGCCAGCGTGGGCTGCTGACGTAGCGGGGAGATAGGATGGCGAGCCCCTTTCCGCATTGGTAGCCCGTTTTCGGGGCAGGGGTCTCTCAGGCTTATATAACGGGGGGTTCCATGGCTCATACAGAGAGAGGCATCCACCAGCCTGCCATATCGAAACCCTTCCCCGTATCCATTCTTCCAGTTCAGCCGTCTTTCCCAGCTCACCGATTCGACATGGTTCTGAGGCCGATTGACCCCACGCACGAGGAGGCTGCCGTTGATGGCAAGCGGACAGTCGCAAAATCCGCCGTGCTTCACAGAGATCTTGGTTATGACTTCCTTCCTCTGGCAGGAGGCGAGGGTAACTACCTTGTACTGGGGGACGGGCGTAGGATTTTCGATGGGTCAGGGGGTGCTGCGGTTGGATGTATCGGCTGGGGTAACGAGCGAGTTGCGAGGGCCGTTATGAGGCAGATGATGGCGATCCCATACTGCTCGACGGTCTTTTATACGACAAAGGTGCAGGAAGACATCTGCCGTTACCTGGTCGACTCGACGAACGGCAATATGAGCCGTGCTTACATCGTCAACTCCGGTGAGTCCGGCGGCGACTACAATGTTTGCTCGCTGCTAACTAGCACTAGGTTCCGAAGCAATGGAGGCCGCCGTCAAGCTGGCCAGGCAATATTTCCTCGAGCTCAGCCCGACCCAGAACCAGAGGACCCGCTTCATCTCCCGGAAGCAGTCATATCATGGAATCACCTTGGGCGCGTTAGCGATAGGGGGGCATGAGTACAGGCGGGCAAAGTTCGAGCCACTCTTGATGAAGAACGTCTCCAGGGTGTCCCCATGCAACGCCTTCCGCGGCAAGAAAACGGGCGAGACGGATGAGGAGTATGTCGCCCGACTGGCTAAAGAACTTGACGACGAATTCCAAGCTGTTGGGCCCGAGACAGTCTGTGCTTTCGTTGCTGAGCCCGTTGTGGGCGCCGTAAGTGCCCTTTCTTCTGTTTGCCATTTCAACATGCAGCTCACCCGCGATACAGGCCCTCGGATGTGTTCCCTCGATCCCGGGTTATTTCAAGGCGATGCAGGCTGTCTGCCGGAAGTACGGCGCGCTCCTCATCCTTGATGAGGTGATGTGCGGCATGGGTCGGACTGGAACTCTGCATGCATGGGAGCAAGAAGGTGTCGTGCCGGACCTTCAGACTATTGGCAAGGCCCTTGGTGGCGGCTACCAACCGGTAGCGGGCGTGCTCGCGAATCGGGGCGTCGTAGACGTGCTCGAGAAAGGCAGCTCGTGAGTACCGCCAATCATGGGAGAGGGTTCCCTACTTAGTAGCCACTAACTAACATGGAAACTCGCAGCGTTTTCGTCCACGGCCACACGTATCAAGGTCACCCAGCGGGCTGTGCTGCAGCGCTCGAGGTCCAGCGGATCATTCGCGAAGAGAATCTCCTAGAAAACGTCCGGGCAATGGGCGAGTTGCTCTCTAGGCGGCTGCAAGAACGGCTGGGGGCGCACCCCAATGTAGGCAACATTCGAGGGCGGGGCCTCTTTTGGGGCATCGAGTTCGTTGCCGACAAGAAGACGATGGAGGCGTTTCCAGCGGGTGATCGTGTGGCCTTGACCATCTGCGAGCGCGGGCTGGCCAAGGAGTACGGAATCAGCGTATATCCGGGTAACGGATCGGCTGATGGTATCAACGGCGACCACATCATCATCTCGCCCGCCTACAATGTTCGCAGCGAGGAGATCGAGTGGACGGTAGATGGTATCGGGCGCCTCGTTGATGATTTCTTTGCCGCTCATCGCGCTGGCGGTGATAGTTGCTGAGGTGGAGACGGGGGTGGTCTCCCTGCCCTCGGTGAGTTAGTGGTCGCTACGCGGGTAATGTAGGTAACCAAGACCTGAATGTTTTGCAACGAGCTGTTGAGCCAGCGAGATGTGCCCCTCGGAGGATCCTCCATCCGCCGTTGATATTGATGGGTAGGCAAGCAAATTACCGAGCTAGAAATATTGAGTATTTTGACTTGAGAAAAAAAATAGAAAAAAAATCCCCCCAACCTAAAAACGAGGATGTTCCATAAACTTATGATATGGAGGAGAGTGGGGGGATCCGCAAGCAGGCTTGGCAATCTGAAAGTGGGATACCTTGGGCTGACTTGATTGGTATAACGGGGACGTTGGACGGGGGAACCGGTTCAATCCGCCAGCTGCTTGCGCCGCACTACAGTGACCTACTCGGTACATTACATACGCAGTAGGACGGAAGCTTCCCCTCCACCAACTCCAAACCGCCTCGAACCATCCAACATCACCACCACCACGCGTCGCATTCGCGGTCCACAAAGATGGCCGTCGGGCTCACAAACAGCCGGCATGCTGCCGACGAAGAAGCCCGAGCCGAAGTCGATGTTCTCAACTCCCGCCTGGAGAAGACGACGCAATTGACCAAGAAGATCCAGGCGTGTTTAGGCAGGCTTGAGGCGACAGGGAAGAGTGTCCGAGATGTCGCAGGGCCATTGAACGGGGAGACAAAGAGGTTGCAGATACTCGGCAATAGTGGGTTATCTGCCGCTTCAGTTCTGGCTGTCTCGACGGCGGAGATTGACTAACTATCGCTGCCCCCCATAGACATCGAATCCGTCCTCTCATCCATCGAACGCCTCCGCCAGCCTGCCGACAGCAAGAATGACGAAGAACAAATCATCCGGATGGGTCCAGACAAGGCTGGCCTACCGAATTACTTGGCATCCATCAAACGCCTGAATAAGGCCCTCAGTGACATGAAGGCGTCAAACCTCCGGTCAACGCAACAGACGGTCACCGAGCTTCAACGACTAGTGAAACTCGGGAACACGCAGCTCGAAAATTCATTCGACAAGCTTCTTAGAAACGAGACGCCGCGCGCAATCGAGCCGCTACACTTCATCACCAAAAACAAACCATTCCCCGTGCTGTCGCAGGACAAGTTCGCCAGGCTGGGCCTAATGAACTCGTTTGTTGCCGGAGTTTACCGGCAAAGCGCTGGCGCTGTGCCCCAAGAGTCGCCAATAGCAAAAATATACATCGAAATCCGGTCACAGTACCTCTCATCGGCCCTTGTAAACCTGGCGACGGCAAGCACCAACACGGCTAAGAAGAAGGTCCCAGATGCGATCTACCGGGCCGGCACCAGCGGGATAGGGACATATGCCCAGGCGATGGAGGGTCTCTTCGTCTCCGAATACGAGAATATTTGCAACATCTTCACCCGAGACGACTGGGGGCCGGTATTCGAAGCTACATGTCAATCATCGTTGGTGGAGTTGGGGAGGACACTGAGGGAACTGAACGGGCATATCAAGGCGCATATGACCACCGACTGTTACCTAGCGTACGAAATAGTCGAGATTCTTTCGGAGCTGTCGAGCAACCTAGAGAGGAGGACAGGCGAGCTAAAGAACCCATTGGCCGCATCACTAAAGCCGGTTCGCGAAACCGCCAAGTCCTCATTACCAGAACTCTTAGAGGATACCAAGAGGCGGGTTAACGGCCTGCAGTCACTTCCACTGGATGGCGCGGCGGTCCCGATCGTGTCCGAGACCATGAAGCGGTTACAGACCATGGTGGACTTCCTCCGACCAGTCTCGAGCATCATGGTCTCCCTTGGCGACGGAAATTGGAAATCGGCTTCTGCTTCGCGAGGTGGAGGAGGTGATGCCGCCCCGAGTCTCGCGTCCTTCGACATCGGTGCCGACGGCAAGGAGATCTTTGCGCACTACTGCACCGACACGATCGAAGCGCTCATGATGGCGCTCGACGCCCGCGCCCGCCTCCTTTTGCAAAAGAAGCCTGTTATGGGTGTCTTCCTCGCCAATTGCGTCACCATCATCGACCGCATGATCCAGACCTCAGAACTCGCCGCCCTGTTGGAGGGCCGCCTAGGTGCGCTAGAGACGTGGCGAAAGAAGGCCGCTAGCTTCTACGCCGACAGCACCAAAGACGTCAGCATGCACCTGTTCGACGTCATCCACACGGGTCGCGGCGGCGGCAGCGGACGGCCCACGTCGGGTCAGGGCGGCGCCATGGTGATCGACTCGGCGTCAATCCTCAAGAGCCTGAGTTCCAAGGACAAGGAGAGCATCAAGGGCAAGTTTTCCGCCTTCAATACGTCCTTTGATGAAATGGTGCTCCGCCACAAGGGCTACACCATGGAGCGCGAGGTTAGGCAGATGTTCGCCAAGGACATGCAGACCATGATCGAACCGCTCTATATCCGCTTCTGGGACAGGTACCACGAGGTGGACAAGGGCAAGGGCAAGTACGTCAAGTACGACAAGTCAGCGATTGCGGCTGTGTTCCTGACGCTGTATTGATCGGATTGGGGTTGGTCTGGTCTCGGCATGGCGTGACGTCCGCTCCTCTGTCCCTGATTTTCGTGCGCTCCCCCCTCGCACTAGTGACATCCGTCCCGCACATAGCCACGGTTCTTTGACAAGGGAGGGTCCGTAGCGTCAGATTCCTCTTGCGTCAGTATGCCTGTCTGCCGAGCCGCTTGCGCGGGAGGATGCACAATACTGGGTCCAATCGAGCCGTTGGGGGAGAGGGGGGGGGGGGGGGGGGTGATCCCCTTTTCCCCAAAGCCCAAGCCAGGGGTCTGCTTTTTTTCCCCGTGCTGGGGTCACGGGAAAGGGGGAATGACACCAGGGGGCGGAAAAGCGTTTTTTCCAGGGCCGGGGGGGGAACACCCGCCGAACCCGAATGGGGGAAAAAAAGGGGGAAGGGGGCCGAACCTCTCCTGGCCCCCCGAATGGGGCCTTCCGACGCCTCCTCTTCCTGGTTTTCGCTTACTGCTCAGGAACCCCCGACGTTTAATGTCCTGGCCTTTGTTCGGGAGTTTCATTTTCTGGGCCGGGGAAGGCTCTCTTCAAAAACATATTTGCCTAATGAAGGAGGAGAACACCAAGCGTGTCTGACGATGTCGCATAGGACATGATGACGGTGACCAACTAATGAGTTTTTCAGGCGTCAGTATGCTACACCTTCTCGGCACCAAGAATACCAAGGCTAGGCAAGGCGAGACTAGCTGCTCCGCGTTGTTCTGGCTGCGCGAGGGCACTGCCTTATCGCCCGCTCCTCTCTTCTCTGCGGCGGCACGGCGCTGCGCAGCAAGCCCAACGCCGGGAGCACGCCCTCGCCCACCCTCTCCACCCATCCTTCCCAGCTGGTCGGGTTGTCTGGTATGGCGCCTCCCTCGCCTCGCAAGCTCCCCCCAGCCTTTGACCCCCAAGTCTTGACCCCCGATCCTGACCCCCGTGTTTGTCCACCACCACCATATGCGCGGATCCCCCGTTGTTCGTTGTGCAACCAACCCGGCATCACCCGCCCGCCCGCCTCGTCTCGAACACCCTCGCCCAAGGCCATCTTATCTCCGGGTTCCGGATTGCCCGGCAGTTTCACGACTCTCACCACCTCCTTGTCCTATTCCCTGAGGGTTTGTGATGTGCACCAACTACCGGTGTTTAACCAGCACCCCCTCGTTACCCCCCCCGTAGCCCGTGTTATCCCCGTTTACGAAGTGATGTGCATGCACATGCATGTCAGAGCGCAACACACAGAAAAGCGCAGCCCAGCAAAGGTCCACACAGCCGTGGTTGCCCTGCCCTGCCATGGCCGGTCCTGTCCGGAAAGAGGACGCTGCAGCAAAACCAGCCGCGGCATGGTTTTATGCAGTCATGGGGTCAGGAGGGGGTCATGGTCATGAGAGAGGGCGGGAATAAAGGAAAGGAGGGGGGGGGGGGGGGGTGCGATTTGGGGGCGGCTTCCACATCAGCTGCAAGGATCCCAAAAAACAGGGACTCCTTCCGACGTATGTCCAGACAGATATGTGGACATAGTTAGTGTATGTATGTATGTCTCTCCAAACGGCCAGGACCTGCCGCTCCTTTAGCGACGGGCGCCTGAAGAAGAGGGTCTGTGGTGGTTGTGGTGGTACTGTGTATGTAGTGTGGCAACGGCGCGTGGCCGCTGCTCGGGTCGGACGATCGGTGGTCCCAAGCTCCCAAGCCCCCAAGCTAGCTCGACGGGAAGGGATCAGGGACGACCGGGGAGGAGGGCGATGGAAGGACAGACAGGGGGCAGGGGTGGCTGGCCCTGTCCTCGGTTCTGGGTTCTGGGCCACGTCAGTCTGGGGCCTCTCATTATCAACAGCCTCGAGCTCTGGTTTTTTTTTAGTTGGGGGATTTTGCCTTTTCATTTCCTGGCCCGGCCTGCCCTGATCTGGCCGTTCGGTGAGCGTAAGGGTGCGGGTGGTGGGGGATTGGGAGGGTAATGAAATCAGGAAGTTTGTTGTTGTTCTTGTTATTGTTGTTGATGCGTTGGGCACAGCGGCATGGCTCGACGAAAGGAGGCATCTCATGTATCGGCAAAGGCCACGGGCCGCAGAAACGGTCTCTGCCGCCGCCGCTGCTTGCTACTCTGTGTGCGATCTTCTCTGCTGAACAGTGTGTGCTGTGCGACTGGGCAGCTCCCCCTGCTGTCGCTCGCGACGCGCCCTCCGATGTCCGTACAGTGTCCTGTCTTTGTTCGGACCTGTGCATGCATGACTCGTTTCGAGACTGGAGAAAGGGGGGGCTGATGAGAGGCAACCGCGCGTCCCGAACCCAACCGGGCCTCTGGAAACGGAAACAAAACACGCATGAGGCTTAACGTCGACGCCGACCGGGCCAGTCAACACCACGTTTTGTGCGGGGTGCCAATGCTTCAACAATCGTTTTCGGCCGCCCACAGGAGTGCACGTCCAACACCCAGGGAGCAGCAATGCGTCCTGCATCCTGCAGTCTGCATGGCATGGCCAGGGGTGTGTGTGCGTTTGCTGGAGTCGCGAACGGCAGACGCGGACAGGGGGGCCAGGGGAGACAGGGGGAGAGAGAACAGGGGAGAAAGGGCAGGGGAGGGAAGGCAGGGCAATCATGACCAAGACGACGCGAGTGGTGGCTTTTGGATGGGCTTGCTTCGGGCGTTCTGTTGATGTGGTTGAGATATGACACATCTATGGCGGTGTATCTTGCATGGTGATATCGGTCACATTATGAGCTCGCCTAGGCGTGGTTGTGGTTTCATGTACACAGTATCACATGAGACCAATGGATGTGTGTGGTTCAATTCTTGATTGATCTCGATTGCCTTGCTAGCTAGCAATAACGATGGAAGTTTATATGCCAATTCAAGGCGCCCAGCCCTGTTTGTGACCGCCACGTCGCCTTGCGCCCTTTGCCCGATGGACGCCTTTCCCCCCCTTTCCATGAGAATGATCATGATGATCCCCAAACGAAACCAACCGTACACCCATGTAGGAAGAAGTATCAGGAAATCGGCATGCAAACGCGCCAAAGGAGCCCCAAGGCCATGGTGATCCCACACCGAAGAACGCCTCATACCACAACGCTGTTCCGATATCCGTCCGGGTCCGCCCCAAGTAACATGCCCATGATTGCAAGAAGGAAACAGAGCAGAAACAGAAAGAGGAAAAAACGCCCGGCAGTGACGCCACCAGCGTAACGAGACTGGGGAAAGGGGTTTCGAGTTGCGGGTTGCGGGTTGTGTAGTCTAGGTCAGCACGACCGCTGGCTGGTGAGTGAATAGCACCCCCCAGGCCTCGATTCGATCACAACACACCCACGTACACTACCCTGCCTCAACTTCGAGCCGCCAGGGCAGACGCTGCGTTTGTGTGCATCGGCTGCCATGTGCGAGGAGAAAAGCGGAAGCAGCAATGCCGGAGACATGCCACTCCCACGCCAGGCTCAGCCTTGCATGCGGGGGTAGGATTGGGAAGTGTGGGCGTGCATGAACGCCCAGTAGCTATTTTGGTGTGGACGGCGAGAAGCGAGCTGATGATCCCCCCTTTCTCCCGCGCTCGTCCCGCGAAGAGTATTGGTTTTGTCAACCGTCGATCCGAGGATGGTGTAGTAGTGTCTTGTCGACAGGAAGTGTTTGTTTGATGTTCTGCGAACTCATGTTTCTGGCGAGAAACAACAAGCTTTGGTTCCCGCTAGTTTCCATGATGAAAAGACTATGTAGATGGAATGGGTGCGCATATCCAGCCAATCCCCCCCTCTTGCTCCCAGAAAGGGATCGAGGGGCTTCAGGGGGTGCTGTAGATGTGCCATCTCCAGAGAAGTGCTTGTTCAACTGGTGAGAATATTCGCTGCATTGCGGCGCGGCGTGCATGATGCTGCTGCGCCTGTGCTGCGTCTGGCGGCGTTGCATGCAGCACGCCCAATCCGGCGGATCGGGCTTTGTGCTGTTGCGGAAAGCATGCTGGCCTTTCAATAGGGGCAAGAGGCGCAATGGGAGCTCTCCGGGCAGTAGTCATGGGTGCCGAAGTCGACAGCCTTGCAGCAGAAGGAGCAGCAGTTGTCGACAAGTTCCTGGTACTCCTTGACGGCCATGTTGACTGTGAGGGCGACTCAACGGGAGAGTGTGACGAGGTTGTAAATGTCAGATATTTTGTGGGAGTTTGAGGAATGTTCCCAAGGTGGAGGAGATGTTGGTGTTGATGTTGGCGAAGTGGGTTGGGAGCTGAGTTAGGTTGGGCTGATGGTTTGTGGCAGGGGGAAGATATATGTGAGAAGGTGGGTGATTGTTCTGAAATGTGGGATACGAATAGTTACGCTTCAGAAAAAGTCTGAGGTGGGTGGGGAGGATGGGGGTATTTGTACTGCTGTGGTGTTGAGGAAGAAGGCGGCGCAGGCAGCGGCTTTTAAACGAGTTGAAGGTCAACCCGTCGAGAGAGACATGACTGACATGAAGGAAGGGTATGGGTATGAAGACGGTGGGGGGTTGATCGAGACCTCCGAGGTACCTGAGTTGCACAGCGTTCCTTTTTTTCTACGCCATGCAACCAGGCGCCCCCCAGGTATGCACATGTACTTACGAGGTCGTCATTCCGTCCCCTTGCCCAAAATCCTCTCTCGGGCTTAGGTTGACGGGGCGCATCAACGAAGCACGTCACAGACGAAACAAGGTATGAGCCGAGGGGGGAAAATAAAAATAAAAAAGTAAAAGTTCAAATTAGAGTTGCCCGTCACCACACGCCCACCCACACCACCCCCGTGGGAAAACCGGCATCTCGCCAAGACCGGGTGTCCCAGCAAGGGGAACGGCGCCTGGAGAGAGCCAAGAAAGAAACCCGAGGAGGGCATGACCGGGGTGCCAGGGCAAGCTGTGGAGCAGGGGGTGAATGACATTGGGGCCAAACCCGAGCGGACAATGCAGCGGTGTGGCATGATCCCCCTTGGTCGGGTCACGAGGCATGGCAGGCGAGCTTTTCAATTTGTGGATGGTTGGTGACAAGGCCCCTGGTTTACTGCTCCTGTCATACCCGAGAGGGACGCTGGGCTTCCTCTTGAGCCCCTATCACTCGCTAGAGTTTGAGCAATCGGCATCACCACAAAGGGGAAGTCTGAGAGTGACTAGGTATTCGTAACCATTTTTCTTCCGTGTTCGGCCGAGGGCCGGTGCTTGGAACAGGAAGACTGTGTAAGGCACCAGGGCATGTTGAGGGGAACCGGGGCGGGGGCACAGCGCCCCTTTCGTGCTGTGGCTTTTTGTGAGGGGGGTTAGCGTAGCTCTCGTCAGGGTCCGATCAACGGTCCAACAAGGACAGAGAGGGGGAAGATTCGCGGTCTTGCAACGCCGAAGGCCTTGTTGCATGACCGGCCCCCCGGCTTCTTGCGACCGCTGGGCAATCCCCACCGATGACCACCGTCGACCGAGAAGTGAGGCTGATGATATGTCTTGGATGGACTGTTGAGAGTATGGCTGTTTGTTTAAAATTAGTCTACTGCATACAAATTACCCTCGGTCATCAACGCAGGTAGCTATATTCGGCAGACTAGAGGGAATTTGCTTGCCTCAGCGCTTACACAGTGCAGTGTTCATATTAGAGACTGCTGGGCCGAGCAGAAACTCACTTTTGTTAGACCCCGATGTGCCCGGGTCTGTCGGCACCCGTTAAAAACGTTTGTGACTGTCCGATGGCATGGTTCTGTGATTTCAACTGCCTCTCGGTTAACTACCACACACCGCCCTCGCGCTGTTCGGGAACACACAAGACCACCGCTTTTCTCTCTCTCAAGCGCGCTCCCAATTGCGGGGTGGTCCAGTTGAGAGAGGTGAGGGGTAGCACGGTTGCTCCCTGACCCTCAGCAACCGGGCGCTTCGCCAGGGCCGGGTTGGACCTGTTTCCGTTGGCCCCAGCACCCCCTGTTGAGTGACGTCTGTTGGCCACCCCCTGGGGAGACATGCCAATCAGATCCCTGTGCCAAGAGCTTCCGCTTTGAGATCCCACAGCCAAGCCGCACTCATCGAGGAAACATCAGACGAAGGATGCCATTTTTCACCGTCCAAGCCAGGTGAGGAGGCCAAGGATTGAATTTCGGTCTCGGTCTGCCCTAGGGGGAGAGAAGTCGTCAGGCGCTGACAGAAAATGAGGGAGCTGGACGGGCAGACGCGGCAAGCCTTCGTTTGTAGCAAGCCCAGCGGCATCACCTCAGCTGGCTAGTCTGATGATGATCTGAACCGGAGTCCACGAGAGGGACGGCAATTCTCGATCTGCATGCAACGTTTGGTCTTCGGCACTACTGTGTACACCAGGCGGGAGTATCAGTTCTGACGTGGGGGAGGAGGGGCAACCAACCCTGTGCGGACAAAGATATTTTTTTTTTTCTCCCTTATCCCGGTCCTGGTCCCGATCGATGCCTTGCCCGAGCCAACCTGATCAGGTGCCTCCAGTCTGTGTTCTCCATCTGTCGGGGAGATGGCAAGCAGTCCTTATGGAATTCCCAATTCGGCCTACCACCAAACCAAGGTTGCGGCTTACTTCTATGGAATATACGCCCATGCCATCCATCAACGACACACAGAAAACCGCAAATCATCTGCGAACTGCACGGGGCCGGGTTTTAACGAACCCATCTCGGTGGGGGACACTCACTGCGGTATCTGCACCCTGCTAGCGAGCCAATCTGTCGGTGAAGACGGAGCACGCAAACAGACCCTCGGTTAAAAAGTGATGAGTGTGCTTGGATGTTTGGGGGTGGATGCTCTGCCATGGTGGTGTGGGGATCTGCGGGCTTGCGTCGTCCTGCGCACTTGAGAGCAGCTTCCCAGTCGGCGCATGGTGGCTGACAGAAGAAAGAAGGTTTCCAGAAGCACGGCGACGGCCCAATCACCAACGCCACTGCCACCCGAGACCTGCCGCTTAGGGCCATGCTCGCCATGGCCTGGCGGACCTTGGGGCCGTTGGGCCCACGGGGCGGGACCCTCGTCCCAGAGCTCGTCCCTCGTCCACGAGGACCCTTTAATGGGCAGAGATCATCTCTGCCCAATCGCCCTGCCCGCTTCCTCATCGAATAGGAGAGGCTGCTGAGTAGTCATCCGGGTCCCGCGGCCCACTAGAGAAGACATCAGCGAGGGTGCCCAACGGTTGTGAATTGGCATGTGGTTGTGCGGAATACCAGAAACGAAACCGTTATTCACGGAAGCTAGGTATGCTAGGTAGCACTCGGGATCCAGGTTCAGCATATCACTTCACCAGGTGGAGGCCCCAGGCTTGAGCAAGTTGGCCGGCTAGGTTACCTTCATCAGGGAATGGCAGCCGTTCTCACTAGGCCTGTTGGTGATGGTCGTTCGGCCGAAGGTATCCGTGGTGGGTGCTTGCACTGATATTCAGCCGCTCTCATGGTTCAACATGCCGAACCCCGATCCGATGTCGCAGACGGAACGAGCTCTCACGGGCACGTGGTAGGAGGTGCTTATCGTTCGTGCATCCACAGCCGCCATATGCAACACACCCCTCGGACCGCAAGTCCTCAGCCGCTAGATCAAGCGGTGAAGACGACCCGGCGGAATGGACGTGATATACAAGGCGGCCGAATCCTTGTGACACATCTCGATGACTGATGATTAGTTGCATCTCTAGCAACACTAACGCCTTATATGTGTGTACTCACAAAATTGACTGTCTGCTGTTGGTTTGTGGGTTGTGCAAAGAGAGGGTGGACCTGACCGAAGGTGGCACGTTCAGTGTTAATCGTGCCTGGCCGTGGCCTTGCAGATTTTCTTTTTCCTTTTTTTTTTTTTTTTTTTTTTTTTTTTCATGCGACTAAACTGTGCCTTCCGACACTTGACAAGAAACAGATGGAAGCTCGGCGGCTGCCTTACCTCCAGGGACGGAAGGTACGAGGGTCACGGAGACGGTAAAGGACCTACCCAGGGGAGCCAGGGTAACTCCCGTCAATAGGACCATAAAATACAAGAAATACATGGATGCGACGAATTCCGAGTACCTTAGATTGTTAACACACTCTTAATAGTGCTTCTCTCCATACCCAGCCTCTAAACTGCCCATGGCCAAGTGAACTGTTGTCAATTATCCCTTTGCCAGTGTGAGTGTTGCCTCCTCTTATCCGACCCAGCGCCGCCCAACACTCCCCCTCAACCACGTCCTCTCGATAATGGGGCAACACGTTGTAGGTTCAGCAACACGGCTTGAGCTCGAACGCCTTTAGATAAGACCAAGCGATGTTCATTTTGAAGCAGACAAAGGAAAAACAAAGCAAGCAACGACCATGAATCAGCACTCCAGCTCAGGGCTCGGGGCCCTCGGCGCCCTTCACACCCTCGCCGCTCTTCACACCCTCGCCGCTCTTCACACCCTCGCCGCTCTTCACACCCTCGCCGCTCTTCACACCCTCGCCGCTCTTCACACCCTCGCCGCTCTTCACACCCTCGCCGCTCTCCACACCCTCCATGTCTGTCATCTGTTGTTTCTGGTGGACTTTGGGCCACTTCACACTCAACTCGTTCAAAAGGCGTAGCCGCTCCTTTCTATGGTCCTTATGCCACCACTCGCTCAGGCGCTGAAGGGCAAACTCATCGTGCCTAGCACGCGAGATAAGAAGATTCTCGTCCTCCCTGTCCATGAAGCCTGGCGTGCCCCTACCATACCGGTGCATGCCAAACGGCATACAGGAGCCAAAGTCGACCAGGACCGGGGTGTAAGACCCGTCATCAACCTCTCGCACCATAATATTGGCAGGACTGATATTGTTGTGGGCGAGGCCTATCGAATGTAGGAACTTGATGGCGGACTCAACCCCGGCCAGAAAGGCCTCCTTGTCTATCCGGCGGAGTTTGGTTCTAGGCACGCCGCGGTCGTTGTCGACGTTGTCGCTGTCGCTGTCATTGTCGCCCTCGCTGTCGTCGCCGTTATCGCTCTCCTTGGCGTCGTTGTCGCTGTCGCCGTCGTCGCTGCCGTCGCCACCGTTGTCTTCCTGGAAATTTGTGTAGTCTGCCAGTGAGTACCGGAGCTTTTCTAGCACCACGCCCGTAATGCGGCCGCGATGGACTCTGCAGCCGTGGTACTGGACAATGTACGGATGGGGCGTCTTAGAAACCTTCTCTATGGCGAGGACCTCGCTCAGCCCCTCCTCCTTGAGGAGACCAATTCTAGTCGAACAACTTTTGATCCGGTTAAAAGCCATGCGCTTAATGAATACAGCACCATCAGCCAGATTCTCGGGCGCGATTGTGATGTGCGTGCCAGCAGGAACATCTGGGTAGATGACATCGTCGGGGATACGTTCGAGCCCCCGAGAGAAGTCAGCCAAGCTGAGGTTAGCCCTGTCTTTGTCCGACTCCCCGACGTAGGCTTCGTCGTCCGCCGTAAAATAAAACCACCTGGTGCTTCTGGTGCCCGACTTTGACGCAATCGCGTCCCATATTTCTAAGTTGATCGTGGTCTGTGATGACTGGGAACTTCCCATTGACCATCGTGCGTTTGACGGCCATGGTAGCCGATGATGCCGTCTGTAGTGTGATAGGAAAATGAACCGTTGGCGGCTTTGGCGAGGCGTGGGCAAGCGGTATGTATGTTGGGAGGTGTCAAGAGTCAGATGAGTTGAGTTGTGGAAAGGGAAAAAAGGGAAGATTCCAGTAGAGGTACTGGGACAAATCATCATTCCCTAGGCAGGGGGATAAAAGGGGGGACGCCCTAGACCCTGAGAAAGTGAACAAAAACAGAGCCGTCATATTAGCAGATTCCTGCAGGCGGGATCTCGCTCTGCCGCTGGCCGACCCCATGACTTGTACCTGTACTGTTCTTGTAATGAGGCCTGGCCAACCCATCGAGCACACGGGGCGGCCATTGCCTGAGCTACCTTACCTCAAGGAGACCTTAGGCTTCTCGGGTCGTGCACCTAGTCCTTAGCACCGAAAGACCTGAGCTAAAGTTGCCTACTAATAGGTAAGGTAGCAAGGTGGTCAGTGGTTGCCAATCATGCTTTCTCCTCGCGGGATTGTGGTGTATTGCTATAACTAAGGTACCTATGTAACCAAGGCATGTCAGGTAGTTACTTTATCAAGGTATCTTACCTTACACACTCCAACAGATTCCACTGCACCATTCCCGATGCGATGTAGCGTCGCCCGATAATTACCCTTTTTGGAATGAGCACACTCCTGATATTGGTTGACCTCAACACCATTTCAGGGCTGAGAGTCACCATGTTCATCATTCCTAGCTGTTTTTTTTTTCTTTCTCAAGTCCCGGTACTCTTCAGAACTCTTTCAGAACTTTTAGTACGGCATCCCGTTTGCCTAATGTGGTGCAGACCTGCTTACTCAAACTAAGATTCCATTCAGGCTTGAACCTTGGCTCAGCATGCTCATCGGTCCGTTTGACCGCCGCAAACGGCGCCATCGGTGCGACAGCTGTACGAGGAGCCATTTGAAGGTGGGTGTATGCTATTCTACGTCTTCAAAAACGGCAGCTTTTAGGCGATGTGATCTAACATACATATCTGCCCATCACACTTAGTGTTCTGGTGATTCCCCTTGCAGCACCTGCGTAAAACGCCACCAGCCTTGTCATTATCTGGTAGCAGCCCAAAAGAAACCAGCCATTCTTGTCGACCAAGGGAGGCAGCAAACAGTTGACACCTACCCTGTCCAAGGACGACGGCCTGTTTCTATTTCTACTAATGGGGTGATCAAATCGCCCACTCCCTCAGACACAACATTGCTCTACTTCTCCTATTATCATGTCTTCCTCCAGAACAACAAATTCTCTGGCCTGGAAACGCCACAAGAAGATACCCTGTATCTCATGAAGCACGGTGACCCGGAGACCTTCCTCCGCGAAGCCATGTTGTCCCTGGGTGCCCTGCAAGCTTCGAAGCTGTGCGGTGTCCAAAAGTCAAAAAGAACCCACTACCAGTCCGCTCTGGAATCTTATATGAGGGCTATTGCGGGACTCAGACATGCCCTCTCCCGATCAGGCAGAAATAATAACCCCCATTTACGGCCGGGTATTCTTTGGGCTACCTTGCTGCTTGGCCTCTTCGAGGTAAGCGGGGGCCCATCTCGGTGCCTAGTACGACATGGGGCACGCTCAGCTAACAACCCCTTAGCTGATGAATGACGCCACCGGCGATGGGTGGTTGCAACACCTTGTCCACGGCACATCTCAGGCCTTGATAGCGGGTAGCCCCTCGGCATGCATCTCTGGGTCTTGTGGCAGGTTCTTTACCGAATCCAAGGTATTCGAAGTCTGCCGAGCCATCATGTTCAATCAGCCGAGTTTCCTCGCTGAAGACGGATGGTTGGCACTCTCGGCATCTTTACGATCATCCTCGACGACGTGGGGCGAGTCACAAAAAGCGCTGGATGTTTTGCTCGATATCGTAGTTTTGTGCTCCTCGCTACGTGTCCGGTATGTTCTGCCACCTCGGATCTCATTCCCCCCTGCAGATTTCGACCGGTCTAACTGCCAAACTCAGGGCGGAGAAACTCATTAAATCCTTACAATCTTCAGTATCCTCACCAGAAATTGCGGAACAGGCCCAAGCTATTTCACTCCAGGGCTTCTCGTTGCGCAGCCAGCTCCGGCAATGGGCATCTGCCAACCATACCTTCCCTGTCTTCCGAGACTCGAGTGCACGACAAAACCCAGATGAGAGCGTGCCCAAAACCGAATCCCAGCTCCTGGGAGCGGCCTACTTCTCCGCCACCAGCATATACCTCTCCGGGGTGTTCGACTACGAGATGTTCTACTGGCAAAGCCTAGATTTGCCCACCTCTACCCTGAACGAGAACGAGATCCAGCTCCACGTCGCCATCATCCTAGCTCTTAGCCAGCGTGTTCTGGATGAAACCAGGCTCTCTCCGTTGCTGCTCCTGTTCCCCCTGCGGGTTGCGAGCGCACGAGCTGGGCAGACGGAACAAAAAGAGCAGATCTTGAGTCTGCTGGGAAGGGTTCGATCGAATTTTGCTGTTGCTGGGGCTATTGTGGCTGATGTGACGAATCTATGGAGCCGTAATGTAGCGGTAGAGGTTTCCCTGTAGGAGCTACCTAGGGCTCAAGCTTAAATGAAGGGGACTGGTCAAACAATTGCAAGTGGTAAGTCGTCAGGGGGCGACTTACACCGAACCCTAACCCCCTTGACCCTTGACTTACTCCACAACCATAGCATATTCCGGAGCACACTTTTGATCCCCGGTGTCCACCTACCTTAGGATATGTATTAGTAGATTGCATGATAGTTGCCCTTTCGGGTTAGGCCCGCCGGGCGGAATAAATTGTGTGTGTGTGTGTGTGTGTGTGTCCACCTACCGTCTCCTCCATGACCGAGGCTTATCCCGGAAAAACCATTGCCCTCACCCCTTCCATACGCAGCCACCTGGAAGCTAAGAGGTAGCATGAAACCGTCACCAACCCCACGATCCCCACGATGACTTCTTACCTACCGCTTCGGGAAAAGGCCATAGGATTATCATACTCCCCTAGCACTACCCAGTTCGAACATCCTAGGCCGAACATGCTCCCATTTCCCAAGTGCATGTAGATGGGATAAAATAACTTGATAAACAAGCTATCTCTTGTCCGTTGCCCCTTGCGTAAAAAACAACACCAAAACATCAAACCCCCTTTCCTCTTCAGCGTTATCCGAGAAGAAAGCCCACATCATCCCCATTCCCAATTCCACTCTGCCTAGGTACCTAAGATACCTCCTTGCCTACCTACCTAGCCACAACAAACAACCACCACACCATGCCCCCCACCGGCCCCTTCAAGCTAGTCACAGTCAACACGGCGCCAGACCGCGCCCGCCGGCTGATCGGCCGGGTGGTGGCCGACGTCAAGGAGCAGTACACCATCACCCACGCCGCCAACGCCGCTAGTATGTCTCTATTTTTATTTTATGTTCTTTATTTGGGTTCTTTATTTATTTTTTGACTGTCATCTCGCCCTTTCCGGTGTTGTTTCAGGGATAGGATCGATAGAAACCAATCTAACATGACTTGACCGTCTCCACAGGCATAGATGAAGTGCGCAAGACGGTCGAGGAAGCCCAGCCGGATGTTCTGGTAAGTGCTTCGGCTTGTCCAGGTGGGTGCGAAGGGAAAAGCTAAAACGGTCGCTAGTTCACCGCATCCATGTGGACGCCTGAGGAGGCACGCCAAATCATCGCTATCGCTAAAGAGATCGTGCCCAATCTCAAAACCTTCTCGCTGCCGCAGGGGCTGCAGGTGGACAAGGGGCCGGATGCCGTGGTCGAATATATCAAGGAGAATTTGCCTTCGTTGCTGGGATAGAATTGGCGTATAGAGACTTAAAAAATGATATGGGGTAACGGTTTCAACTAATTTGTTTAAGAGGTGGTATGCATATGTCCGGCGTTGTTCCTTAGAAAAGCCATATCTAAAAGCTACCAAAGCCAAAATACACTCCTCCTTTTCGGCGACTTCCCATTCATTTCTCGTTCTGCATAACATTGTACAGGCTCCCGATATGCGGCTGGATCTCCACCACAAACTCATCCCCGTCATGCAGCAGCTCCTGCGGCTTGTGCGCAAACCCAACGCCAGCCGGAGTGCCCGTAATAATAACGGTCCCCTTGGGCAGCGTCGTGCCCTGCGAAAGGAAGCTGACAATTTGCTCGACCGAGAAGATAAGGTCCCTAAAAGCAGATAGTGCCAGTTAGCCAGCGGCTCAAGGGAGGGAAAGAAAGAAAGAAACGCACGTCAGCCCACTATCCTGCACAACCTTCCCATTCTTCAGCCCGCGCAGCCGGAGCTTCCCGACATCGGGCACGAGGCGCTTGGAGACGAGGACGGGGCCAATGGGGCAGGCGCCGTCGAAGCCCTTGGAGTAGCACCACTGGGTCTGGGCGAACTGGGAGGCCCGGCTCGAGATGTCGTTGCTGGCCGTGTACCCCAGCACGTAGTCGAGGGCGTCGGCCTCCGACACGTTCTTAGCCTCGCGCCCGAGCACGATCGCCAGCTCGGACTCGTAGTCGGCCGAGTCGCTGGCGATCGTGTGCTTGGGGATGATGGTCGGCGACGGGTAGGGGTCGGCGAGGCAGGTCGAGGGTTTGCTGTGAGATGGGGGGAAAGGGGGTAGATGTTAGCTGGAGGTGAGGGAGGAGGGAGTGGAGGGGGGATTGTGAGGTGGGACGTACAGGAAGACGGTGGGGATTTCCGGGATGGTCATTTTGGCCTCTTCGGCGTGCTTCTTGTACTGTTCGAGATAACATCAGCAGTGACTCTCCCGCTGGGAGTTCTGGGGGGGGGGGGGGGGAGAAAAAACGGTTAGTCCGCAACAGCGGGATGTTCCCACCCTCTTGTTTGGGTTA